CTAGCGAACAAGAGGTGGTTGCTTTTTTATTAATAAAACTATGTCGTTTGGGATCGGCACACCATGCTCATGGTGGGCCGATCCCACGGTATAATTTGCCATGTGTTCCACTTCTTTTACTAAAAGATTAATGTTTAGATTATCTTCAATGATTACATGGTTATTTTTGTAGTTTGACATGACACGACTGCATTTCTAGTTAAAAAATGAGTAAATTTGATTTTGCACATGAAGAATATTATTAAAATAAAATTTATTTACAATCAATATAATTATTCATTACTACAACCTAATTTAAGTTCAAAACTTGAACATGAATTATTATGATTTCAATATTATTTTAGTAACTAGTCATATTTTTGTATACTATCTTTATTTTGGTCATATTTATGTAATTATTTCTTTACAATTTTGGACTTATGGAGTAGCAATTATCAATGATTTTGAAAATGAGGTGTAAAGTCCTATTTTGCACAAAACTTGAAGTGCAAAGTCAAACTCTTTCTAAAATTGTTGAGAAAAGGGGCAAATAAGGCCACGTTCTAACAAAAAAAGGTCAAATAAGACCTTATTTAAGAGACTCTGTCCAGTCATCGCCATTTGTGGTGGTTCACGGTGGAATTTTTTGATGAAATTTTTTGAGCATCTTATTCAGTAAGTCTAGTTTACTCATACCAAATTTCAGCTAAAACTTCAATCGGGAAGGCATTCAAATGAATTCTTGAAGATAACTGCGCAATATCTTCAAGAATTCATTTGAATGCCTTCCCGATTGAATTGTTAGCTGAAATTTGGTATGAGTAAACTAGACTTAATGAATAAGATGGTCAAAAAAATTAATCAAAAAATTCCACCGAGAACCACCCCAAATGGAGTTGGCCGGACAGAGTCTCTTAAATAAGGATTTATTTGACATTTTTTTATTAGTACGTGACCTTATTTGCTCCTTTTCCCAAAATTGTTTTCATAGTAAAATGTATATCAATGTTATAGTGAGGCATAAGGCCTATACTTTATTTATCTTCATTTTTATTAATAATATTATATTTAATAATTATTCTAATACTCCGTAGTTCCGTTTGGGGATTTAGCTTTTCTCAAGCAAAAATAAAATTAATGTTCCTGTTATTAGTTATTTGCTTTGAAGTTACAAGCAAATTCCCCAAATGAATCAATAGAGATGCTCTTACAACTACTCCCTCCGTCCCAGAAAATTTTTCCTAGTTTGACTTGGATCGGAGTTTAAGAAAGTGGGAATAAAGTGGAAATGTGTGGTTGTAGTTGTGTAAGAAAAAGGTGAAATGAATGTGAGCCACACAAATAATCAAAAAAGTGAAGTTGGAAGAATTTTCTGGGACGTCCCAAAAAGGAAAGTTGGAAGAATTTTCTGGGACGGAGGGGTATTTTTTACCCACAATTAAAAAGTGATGGCCTCTAATTAGTCCATTTTTTAAACCTGAGCACTTTATATTCGTTATACCTAAATTTTATTCAAAACTAAAAACTTATAATCATCTCCCTTCCGAAAAAACTTAGTCACGTAATTTCTCTTTTTGTTACAAGCGTCGGTTGAACTTATACAATTGTAACTTGCAAGGGATAAATCAGGGTTATTATTCACGAGAAAATTTGTGATGATCATTCTACGATTGAATACTTAAGCAGTTATCCTAAGGCTGTCCGCATCCCTCGAAGTGAAAAACTAAATTTAGCATATTCACTCTTAAAACTCCTCCAATCCATGTATTTGGTGGTCTCAAATTGGTAGAATGGCACCCAAGGGAGGGAGAATATGGCACCCCATATTCACGGCCTTTGTAGAAGAAAAAATGGGGAAGTTGCTCTGATGGAGACATATAGTGTGGACCCCAACAACAAAAAAATCTATTTTTATTAAAAAGTGTTACAACTTTTTTATTTGAACCTAATTTTTTTCAAAAATTATATCAAAATTCTTAATTTTTTTATATCTTTCATATGATATCAATATCATATTTCATATGATATCAATATCATATGTATAAAGTTAAAAAAAAATTGCAATATAATATATTGACGGTGGTTGGATTGCAGCAAAAATTGAATTGACAGTGTGAATACGTATAAAGTAGTGGGAAATTTGATTTATTGACGGCTGCGGGTTGCGGTTAGCCTAAGGCCAAGTTGCACAAAATGGGAATTCCTATTTCCTAATGGTGGTGTAAAATGGATGTTTTTGGTTAAAAACCAAATACATAGTCTAACATGAATCTCGTTAAGAAAGGCATCTAGGTACATTGAATAAAAACTTTTTTGTTTAGCTACGTAAGCACAAAGAAGTAATGGTTGTATGCATATACTCTTGCAATGTTGCCCATGTTTAATACGTCAATGGGGCTTATGATAAATAAATTCCTTGCATTAGGCTTTTGTGATTTAATAAATGCTTCAAATCTCTCGATGTTATAAGTAAACATGTGTAGGGGTGGGATCGGGAATTCGGGATGATCCCGATCCCGATTGCCCAAATCCCGATCCCGTCCCGATCCCGATTTAAACTACAAGAGGATCCCGTATCCCGTCCCGATTAAGTCGGGATCCCGACATTAAAATCCCGATTAAGTCGGGATCCCGATTGGGAATCCCGCTTAATCCCGCTAAATCCCGACAATGAAGTAACAAATATAATTAAATTTATGTAATTTCTTTAGTTAAATACTAACTTTGATATTTAGCAGTTTCAAAATTATTATTTGTTCATTGTTATACCATATTTATCATCATCTACTTATAAAGTTTGTTGTAATAATTACCCTCTCAAATTCACACTAGTACATACTTTTAGAATAATTTTTATTTGTAACTTCAATTAATTAATAGTATAATTTTTGAATAAGCTATCAAAGCTTAGTGAAACTTACTTCAAACATTTTATAAAAATCACTAAAAGAAGGATGTGTAACGTATATTATTTAAAATTCAAAACTAAGTAGACTCATTGAGAAACTTTGTGACCAATGAATATAATGTATAAATACATATTATGATTATTTACTAAAGAAAGATATCTTAGTCTCGATCAAAAAAAATTTAAAGAGTTCATCATAACCGCAAAATTTGTAATATTGTTGTGATTTAGATTGTCGGGATCAAGAATAATCTCTATTTAGTTAGAATCCCAGATATTCATTTTCGGACAAATGCCGAATAGTTTTAGAAGTTTGATATTGTAAGATACTCGTAGTAAAAGATTAATCTATGTAAGGAATAAATAATTAAAAAAGATATGCAAATATTTAGATACATATTCATTTTTTTTTTATAAATGTATATTCATTTTTATATATTCATATATAATTATATACATGTATATATATATATATACACACACACACATACTCCGTATATATATAATGTCGGGATGTCGGGATTTTCCCGATCCCGACTTTTTCCAAAAAAAAAAAAATCTTGATCCTGTCCCGACTTAGTCGGGGTCGGGAAAAATTCCCGATTGGTCGGGATCAGGATTGTCGGGATTGGGATTATCGGGATCAGGATTGTCGGGATCGGGAGTCGGGAGTTTTTCCCCAGCCCTAAACATGTGTATACCCTCAAAAGAATAAATTTAAATATTTAATTGTATTCTTGTATAGTTTAGATATCTTGAAAAAACTATTTACATATTCAATCATTACAAAATTTAATAACATATTCAATAACATAAACTAATGTACAAAATTTATATATCATGAGAGAGTTCGGTGTATTAATCCCCACATGCGCAATATGTGTCGGTTGCATTTCTATACAAGAACATATATACATGTGGACTTCATCGGTACAAAACATAAGACAACCAACATAAAACGCATAGATCATCTTTGTCTTCCCTCTCATCTACTCCGTCATCTCTCCTTCCTTGGTCGCCTGCCTTGACATCTCTCCTTCGCAGATCATCTTCTGTATCGCATGTCCTTCCCAACTTATGTCTCAGTACAAGCTCCATGTTTGGTCTTTTTTATGAAGTTATACTTAAACGAATGTCATCATCACTAACCTCTCATATCACATAATCACTAAAATCCAAGCCACAAGATGGGAGATGAATCAGATGATGACTATAATGAACAAAAATTTATACAAAGCATTTCTTTAGAAAGATGGGGGGCCACTCCCCACACTTAAAATTATGCATTTTGTGGAGGTATTAAGTTCAAGTCACCAGTTAATTTGAGAGATTTTTCTTGAATGATGATCATTTAGCCTCGAGGCTAGCTCGGGTGGTCGCACAATCCGAGTGAGTCTCATTTCAAGCGATCTTGTGATTCTTACTAGGAACAGTGCTTGAATCAATCGGTGGTGCGAAAGTCGAGGACAAGCACAATCCATCGGGCAACAGTGATTTATTTTGCATAGTAATGTATAAAAAAATGTTACTTGTACATGATGGTTTACACGCCAAATCATAATTGTATGTACACATTTTTTGGGGTCACGGACACTTATCTTTACTCAAATGAAACTTGATTATCTGGGCACAGACAATTACGGATTGACGTGTAAACCGACATGTAGAAGTAGCATATTGATGTATAAGAGCCCGTATGGTGACCATGTTTTTGGGCTTATCAGGCTTATCAGTCAACTTTTTCACCAAACACATAACTTTTGATCGCGCGTTGAATTGTGTAATAATAAAAAAAAGTAAGGTTGAAGTTACTTTTCTGACTATATTGGCTAAAGTTACTGTAGATGATTATTTTTAACATTTTCTCATATATTGTTTTCTTTGTTTTATTTTTAAAATATTTTAAATATAATTATATTTACAAATCAGCAGAATCGGCCAATCTAGTCACTTCAGTCAGAATTTCATAAATTTCAGTAGAATCCGCCAACGACGGGTATTATCAAACGGGCTCTAGTGCAATCTAACCGACTGTTGAAACAGTTCAGATTATAGTTCTCTAATTTGAGATGAACTATTGGGAATTTACTAATTTAGGACTAGTAGACAAAGTCTGGGATTTGCAATGCTAATAATAAAATAGGAAAACAGAGAGGAATAAAAAAAATACTCTTGCACTCTTATGTGCTTTAGGTTTCCACTGCAGTGCATAGAATGATAGAACATCAGTTGAGTAACTCGAATATTCTCTGCCTTTCCCATTCCATAAATATAATCCCAACATTCCTCATTCAGGGGTACTCCTTTCGTCCCTGTTTTTCTTTTCTCCCTCAGTCGCTCCTGCTTCGTTACAGTAACGGGTTATTACCGATTGGGCATTATTCGGGTTTTCTCAGTCACCTCCCAGCCCCTTCCGACAGGAAACCCTAGCGCTTCTTTAACCCTTTAAAAGGCTTTCCTTTTCAGCTTTTTTGCAACTATTATTATCAAGAGAGCGGAGGGAAGCAGTGTCAGATTGTGAAAGATGAGTTATTGTATAAATTACAGCTGCGAGAATGCAGTGTCTAAGCTAATTTCTTCATCAGCTTCGCCCCACTTCTTTGCGCATTCTAAGTGTTGCTCGACCAAATTGGATGCTTTTCCTGATTTTACCCGCTTTAGGGAAGTCAGAACGAAGAAGAAAGAAACACATTTGGGCATCCAGTCTCGGCCATGGGTCCTGCAATCGGGTAAACGGTTGAGTCCTGTTCGATGTGAGCAGAGTGTGGATGCTACATGGGGCTCTTATGATCAAAAGGTGGGGAAGAGGACTGATATAAAAAAGATCTTGATACTAGGTGCAGGTCCTATAGTGATTGGTCAAGCTTGTGAGTTCGATTATTCCGGAACACAGGCGTGCAAGGCACTCAGGGAAGAAGGGTATGAGGTGATTCTGATTAATTCAAATCCGGCCACTATCATGACTGATCCAGATATGGCGGACAGGACATACATTGAGCCAATGACCCCGGAGCTAGTTGAGCAAGTGCTTGAGAAAGAGAGGCCGGACGCTCTGCTGCCTACTATGGGCGGGCAGACTGCCCTTAACCTTGCTGTGGCATTGTCTGAGAGTGGGGCTCTTGATAAGTATGGTGTCGAGTTGATTGGAGCAAAGCTTGATGCAATCAAGAAAGCAGAGGACAGAGATCTTTTCAAGCAGGCAATGAGGAATATTGGGCTGAAAACGCCTCCTTCCGGTATTGGGACCACCCTTGAGGAGTGTCTCGAGATTGCTAATTCAATTGGGGAGTTTCCATTGATTATCCGGCCTGCATTTACTTTGGGTGGGACCGGAGGAGGGATTGCTTATAACAGAGATGAATTTGAGGCCATATGTAAATCAGGGATTGCTGCTAGTGTGACATCTCAGGTCTTAGTTGAGAAGTCTTTGTTGGGGTGGAAAGAATATGAACTTGAAGTAATGAGGGATTTGGCTGATAATGTGGTTATTATTTGTTCTATTGAGAACATTGACCCGATGGGTGTGCATACAGGGGATTCTATCACTGTGGCCCCTGCTCAGACATTGACTGATAAAGAGTATCAGCGTCTCCGGGATTACTCAATTGCTATAATCAGGGAGATTGGGGTTGAGTGTGGTGGTTCAAATGTACAGTTTGCGGTTAATCCTGAGGACGGAGAGGTAATGGTGATTGAAATGAACCCCAGGGTTTCTAGATCTTCGGCTTTAGCCTCAAAAGCTACAGGTTTCCCAATTGCCAAAATGGCTGCTAAGCTCTCTGTTGGGTACTCACTGGATATGATTCCTAATGATATCACGAAGAAGACGCCAGCTAGCTTTGAACCTTCCATCGATTATGTCGTCACAAAGGTAATATCTGTCACTATTAAATATCTGTATGACTACTATGGACTTGATATGGAGTTTTTGACCAGATCAATTCTTGTTTTTTTAAAATGCATCATGAATACTGTTCTGTGCAAAAGTATTATTTTAACATTGGCATCTATAGTAAATGTTGGTCGCGGGATTGATGCATTTGGAGTTCTTTTATATTTAAAATTCACTGCTTTTTCTTCATGATGACTCAAAAAAGGTATTTATTTTAGGTCTTAAATACTGAGTACCGAGTATGTGTTTGTAATTTAAAGAAACACAAAAATTGTTACCCCAGTTGTCTCTCTCTTGGCAGTATACTTCTCCGGTGTTTATGCATATTTCAGTCTACACAAAAAGACATGCATGTCTTTTTGCATGTGGCATACCTTAAGTGCTTATTTATGTCTACTGTTTTTGGTTTTATTTGTCCTTTTATTGAATTGATAGACAATAAATTACTTTCTCTCATCTTGGTCCTTTTAGTGAATTGATAGACTATAGATTACTTTTTCTCTATTCTTCCCTTCAAAATAAAATGTGGAGCATATGGAAAACGTGAAAGCCAGGGTAAAACATATTGGAATGTATGTGCATTGCGCTCATAAATAAGGCAAATTTATTAAAATGAGATAAGATGTGATAAATTTAAAAATGCTATGCAACTTTAATAATATGGGTGTTTGGATTATATAGAAAGATAAGTAGGACCACAAGGAGTAGCCTGTAACAAGATTTAAAACAGATTATTTCACTGTGTAGTTCTAGACAGATGCATATCATATTCTTTATAGGAGGGAACATTTCTCACAAGTCACAACTGATATGCAGATATTGTCTACTTTTATTTAATCCTTTCATTTTATGTGGATCTTGGGCAGATACCCAGGTTTGCTTTTGAGAAGTTTCCTGGATCAGAACCAATTCTGACAACTCAAATGAAATCCGTTGGTGAATCCATGGCTATAGGCAGAACATTCCAAGAATCATTTCAAAAAGCACTCCGGTCTTTAGAATGTGGTCATTCTGGGTGGGGTTGTGCAAATGTTAAAGAGCTAAGCTGGGACTGGGAAAAGTTAAAGTACAGCCTTAGAGTCCCTAACCCTGATCGCATTCACGCCATTTATGCTGCCATGAAAAGGGGAATGACGGTTAACAACATTCATGAGGTCAGTTACATTGATAAGTGGTTCCTTTCACAACTTAAGGAGCTTGTTGATATTGAGCAATATCTTTTGGTTCACAATTTGTCAACCTTGACAAAGGAAGATTTGTGTGAGGTGAAAAAAAGGGGTTTTAGTGACAAACAGATAGCCTTTGCATTGAAATCCACTGAGAAAGAAGTCCGCATGAAGCGCCTTTCATTTGGCATCAAACCCGCGTATAAGAGGGTTGATACATGTGCTGCAGAATTTGAAGCTGATACCCCTTATATGTACTCAACTTATGACTTCGAGTGTGAATCGGGTCCCACAGAGAGGAAAAAAGTTTTGATATTGGGCGGCGGACCGAACCGGATTGGACAGGGAATTGAGTTTGATTACTGCTGCTGCCACACCTCTTTTGCTCTTCAGGTATGTGCTTTACATAACCACTTAGGGGTTTAATCTAGTCATCTTGTCTTCACACTACATTTCTCAATGGCTATAAATTAGAAAAGCCTGAGACTTTACTTGAGGGCTTGTTTGGTTGGGGGATTCTGGATGGGAGGGAGTTCAATGTTTTTTTATTTTATTTCCATACTAAAAAAAAAACTAATGCTGTAATGCATCTCTGTTTTTCAGTCTAAGTCTAGGAAATAACTACTGGCATATGTTTAGTTTAATCACGTGTTTTATTTATGTATTCATAACTTTCTTTCCAACTAAGTAATAAATTAATGATAAAATAAAAATGAGCCATCCCCTCTAAAACCCCCAACAAAACAAGCACTAAATAATATCATGCGGACAAGTTAGAATGTGCATATTGTAGTATTAAATGTGCATCAAATGTTTCTTTGGATTATCTCCATATCAGCGGACAAATTAGAATTGTAATGACAGCTAAATATTAAGTTTTGGCAGCATGAATTGACGAGTTCAAACTTCAAAAGTTCTTTTAGACTTTTAGAGATCACTGTTAACTAACTTGGATAAATAATTTCAATTGGGATTAAGGTGATACTGATGATGTTAGAGTTATGTAGCCCAATTGTCCATACAATCCCCATGTCATGCTTGCTACTAGAATGCATAACTTGATTATGTAAAGCCAAGATAGGCGACAAACATTGAAAACATCAAATCAAATTAATGAATTCAAGTTTTTTGATTTAATGATTTTGTGTGATGTATGTCTGCAGGATGCTGGCTACGAAACAATAATGATGAACTCAAACCCTGAGACAGTTTCTACAGATTATGACACTAGTGATCGTCTCTACTTTGAACCTCTCACAGTTGAAGATGTCCTCAATGTAATTGATCTGGAAAGACCTGATGGCATCATTGTACAGTTTGGTGGTCAGACCCCGCTGAAACTGTCCCTTCCAATTGAGCAATACTTGGGTGAAACCAAACTCGAGTCCAGAAGTGGGGCTGGCTATGTTCGTATATGGGGCACCTCACCTGATTCCATAGATGCTGCTGAGGATAGGGAGAGGTTCAACATCATCTTAAATGAATTGAAGATTGAACAGCCGAAAGGTGGCATTGCCAAGAGCGAAAAAGACGCTCTTTCCATCGCAGAAGATATTGAATATCCAGTTGTCGTGCGACCTTCCTATGTCTTGGGCGGTCGGGCCATGGAGATTGTCTACAACAATGAGAAGCTTGTGAAGTACCTCCAAAATGCAGTTGAGGTAGATCCAGATCGACCGGTTTTGATTGACAAGTATTTGTCTGATGCCATAGAGATTGATGTTGATGCTCTTGCTGACTCACACGGTAACGTGGTGATCGGTGGAATCATGGAGCATATCGAGCAGGCCGGGATCCACTCGGGGGACTCAGCTTGCATGCTTCCTACCCAAACCGTCTCATCATCATGCCTCGACACGATCCGGTCGTGGACCACGAAATTAGCAAAGAGGCTAAAAGTGGTTGGGCTGATGAACTGCCAATATGCCATCACGGCTTCGGGTGACGTTTTCTTGCTCGAGGCCAATCCGCGGGCATCGCGGACTGTTCCCTTTGTGTCCAAGTCGATCGGGCACCCATTGGCCAAATACGCGTCGCTCGTGATGTCCGGAAAATCCCTACATGACATAAACTTCACCGATGAGGTCATCCCAAGGCATGTGTCGGTCAAGGAGGCAGTCCTCCCGTTTGAGAAGTTCCAAGGGTGTGACGTGCTGCTGGGGCCCGAGATGCGGAGCACGGGTGAGGTGATGGGTATACACGCCGAGCCGTCGATTGCTTTTGCCAAGGCCCAGATAGCAGCAGGCCAGAAGCTGCCACTCTCAGGGACTCTTTTCCTCAGCTTGAATGACTTGACAAAGCCACACCTTGTCACCATAGCTCGTGCTTTCCTGGAGGTCGGGTTCAAGTTGGTCGCGACTTGTGGGACCGCACACGTGCTCGAGTCGGAAGGGGTTCCAGTGGAAAGAGTGCTGAAGATGCACGAGGGTAGGCCTCACGCAGGCGACTTGATTGCCAATGGGCAGATTCAGTTGAGCGTGATCACTAGCTCAGGGGACACACTGGACCAGATTGATGGGCGAAGGCTGAGGAGGATGGCCCTTGCGTATAAGATTCCAGTGATCACCACAGTTGCCGGGGCTTTGGCTTCCGCCCAGGCAATTAAGAGCTTGAAATCCAACAAGATTGAGATGTCTGCTCTTCAGGACTACTTCCACGTTCCTCAGGAGGATGCAGATAGTAGCGATAATCTGCTGCAGTCTTCTGCGGCCTCCTTTTCTTCAAGCCGCTGATTAGACTATTATTATTGTTATTTTGTTATTAAATAAAGTCCAATTCATCTTTATATATTTGATGTTTTTGATATATCTTTCAACACTCCATTTCATGCCGCACTATTTTGGTTTCATTGATTTGGTAATAATTGATGCATCTTCCTATGCTACCACTTAACCTGTTGCTTCTATCTTTATTTTTTGTAGACTAATGGTTCATAACTGTAAATTAATTAGAGGATTAGCATTGGTGTATCTACTGCTCGAGTGTGGCAACACTCTATTAGGGGTTGGACTCTCCATTCTAAAACCAGCCCAAGGCCAGTGTGAATACAAAAAAATTGTTTGTACCCATCCTTATACCCACCATGTTTGTGCAGATTGCAAAGTGTTTTTGTCTGTGAATCTCGGTCACAGACAAAATATGCCAGTGCAAATTATTTTGTCTGTGAATCGGATTCGCAGACAAAAAAAACTCTTCATGGACATGGTGGTATAATTGGGTATGGTATAAAAGTGTGTACAACAAGAAATTCTGGTGTGAATATGGCTTGAAAGGCAAGTTATAACCTTGTAAGCCTGTGATGTTAAAGTCAACAGTTAACAAGATAGTGTAAAAAGAGGACATGGATTTCACATAGTGTTGTCATAGAGTCATAGATTCTCACAAGTCTTGAATTAGATCCAAGTCATCCAGCATTTGATAGCTTTTATAGCTATGTGCATATTATTGAGAAAATATGGTCTCAGGTAAAACTAAATAAAATATTACAACTGCGCTAATAAGACAAAGCCTACTTGTAATTCTAAAAAGCACGTCACAAAGGTGATGCTCTAGACTTCTAGGTCCAAATTTGGAACACAAAAAGGATGTTTCTTTTCATGGAAATTGGGATGTTTTCAATCTTTGAAGCAAAGAACAGTAGAAAATAAAACATACTTGTGGGTGTTCCAGATACTAAAGTTATGCTACCCATCACAAAAGACACAAAGGGTATGTATGGGTGAAATTATGAAAGTTGAGTGCATTAGGGAGATCACTAATGGTGTGATTTTGGGTTTAATTAGGGTACGGTCTTTGGAATTGATTCTGTTTCTATTTGTGTTTTGAAAGCAAAAGTAAAATTAGAGTTGGTTATTCAGAAAGTGCTCTTCATCGGTTTCTAAAGAGCTGCTTCTATGAGTAATCTAACGCATCGAGAAGTACTTCTTTACTTTTGTCCGAACACATAATATATATTTCTGCTCTTTAAAGGAACAAAGCAACTCTAAGAAATATATCCAAAACAGCCCTATAACAAAAAAAAAGAGTTTTTTGAGAAAAAAGAAAACAAAAAAGAAACAAAACAAAAAAGATTATGTGCATTGAATCATTAAGAAAGATAAAGTATCTATGATATTTTGAGTTACCCTTGATGTTATTTTAGAAATATTCATTTTTTAATCAGAGTTTTATATCAATATGATTTTTTTTTGTTGAAATCTCTGGTTACCTATAATAATATTAAAGGGATCATTTTTTCAGAAGAAAAGTAGAAAACGAGATACTGAGTGAAAAGGAAAAAATGAGGATGCAATAATGATGATTCAAAGTTTCATTAGTGACAAGTATGACGATCTGTTACCCAAATTAAGGGATAGGAAATGATCATAAATTCGCGGCTGACCTAAATGTACCGCCATCATCACCGCAGAACGTGGATGTGATCTATAAAGTACCCAATTTCTTCTCCTTAGTCTCTCCTGCAAGCTGTAGTATTCTTCAAGCTAGAAGCACACATCTGATACAGGTATGTGCTCAACTAGGGCTTCTCATTATGAGCTTACTTAAATGGATCATGTCTTAGATTCTGATTTAACTGTTTAAGCTGTTATCTGTTTAAGCTGATCAGTGCAGTACCTGGTTACCTTTTGACATCTTATCGATTTATATCCATAAGAAAGGGTGCTAATCGGATTTAGACTTGATTTCTGTTCATGTTTTGGATGATATTGCTTAGATTGTCAAGCTCAACGTAATTTTATAGTCAACTTGAAGCTTTTGTCGCATGACTTAGTTATAGTTCGGAATATGATTTAATTTTCCAGTGATGAACGGAGGTTGTTCACAAGTATACCACTTAAGAAGCTTTATCATCGCTTGATAGGTTATATCCAGTGTTGTCAGTTGTCACATCTATCAGATGCCTTAGTTCTAGAAATATTGATTTTAATATTTCTTGGTCACTTAACAACCGAGGCTTAAGTTGTTCAACTCTATTATGTGAGCTTACTTTGCATAACCTGTGTTTAATGCGCATCATTAACTTAGTTGTTTTTCCGGTACTGTGGTTTCAATCCGAAGTTCAGAATGGGTAAGGAGAAGGTTCATATCAGCTTGGTGGTCATTGGACATGTCGACTCCGGCAAGTCGACCACGACTGGTCACTTAATTTACAAGCTTGGAGGGATTGACAAGCGTGTGATTGAGAGGTTTGAGAAGGAAGCTGCAGAAATGAACAAGAGGTCATTCAAGTATGCATGGGTTCTTGACAAACTCAAAGCTGAGCGTGAACGTGGTATCACCATTGATATTGCCCTGTGGAAATTTGAGACCACTAAATACTACTGCACGGTCATTGATGCCCCTGGACATCGCGATTTCATCAAAAACATGATTACAGGCACCTCACAGGCTGACTGTGCTGTTTTGATCATAGACTCTACAACTGGTGGGTTTGAAGCTGGTATTTCAAAGGATGGTCAGACTCGTGAGCACGCTTTGCTGGCTTTCACCTTGGGTGTCAAGCAAATGATATGCTGCTGTAACAAGGTCTATTTTTTATTATAGTTCTTATTCTTATTATGTTTGCATATTATACCAAATATTGTCCCCTTTCCTATAAAGAGTCGTTTCACCAATGGACAATTTTTTATTATGGTCAATTATAACCGTCATAAACCATGAATTATAGTATTTCTAAAATGTATTCCTTGGGTTAACTAAACATGAATTATGCTACCTCCGGTTTTTTTTAATCTTCACAGTTTGACTTCACACAAAATAAGGAAAGAAATTTGACTTTACTGTAGAGTACACTGTTTGACACTGTTTGGCACTGTAGAGACACTGTTTGGCACTGTTGAGACACTGTTTGGCACTGTTTGGCACTGTTTTGGTGTAGATTTCTTTGCCAAAAAAGGAAATAAGGAAGTGTGAAGTTTATTTTAGACCGTCCCAAAAAGGAAAGTGTGAAGTTTATTAAAAACCGGAGGGAGTAGTATATTTTGAATTAATTTGTTTAAATAACTAAGACATACATAGAAAGCTAGATTTGATTGTCTGGAACAGGATATAGTACTGTCTTATGATTTATCAAATGAATGATATCTACCAAGTACTAACCTCGGTACTTATCTTCTTTGTTTGGTGATTTATCTCTTCAGATGGACGCCACCACCCCAAAGTACTCTAAGGCTAGGTATGAAGAAATTGTGAAGGAGGTGTCATCGTACCTAAAGAAGGTTGGATATAACCCTGAAAAAGTCCCATTCGTGCCCATATCTGGTTTTGAGGGTGACAACATGATCGAGAGATCAACAAACCTTGAATGGTACAAGGGCCCCACCCTTCTGGATGCTCTAGATCAAATCAACGAGCCAAAGAGGCCATCAGACAAGCCACTCCGGCTCCCACTTCAGGATGTCTACAAGATTGGTGGAATTGGTACTGTTCCCGTTGGACGTGTGGAGACTGGTGTTATTAAGCCCGGTATGCTTGTTACGTTTGCGCCCTCCGGTTTGACCACAGAAGTCAAGTCTGTTGAGATGCACCATGAATCCCTTCAGGAGGCACACCCAGGTGACAATGTCGGGTTCAATGTGAAGAATGTTGCAGTAAAGGATCTGAAACGTGGGTACGTTGCATCTGACTCGAAGAATGACCCTGCTCGGGAAGCTGCTAGCTTCATAGCTCAGGTCATCATCATGAATCACCCTGGTCAGATTGGCAATGGGTATGCCCCGGTTCTGGACTGCCACACCTCCCACATTGCTGTGAAGTTTGCTGAGATAGTGACTAAGATTGACAGGCGGTCGGGTAAGGAGCTTGAGAAGGAACCTAAGTTCTTGAAGAATGGTGATGCTGGTTTCGTGAAGATGGTTCCGACTAAGCCGATGGTTGTTGAGACTTTCGCTGAGTACCCACCACTTGGCCGTTTTGCTGTAAGGGATATGAGGCAAACGGTTGCTGTCGGTGTCATTAAGAGTGTTGAGAAGAAGGATCCTACTGGTGCTAAGGTCACTAAGGCTGCCCTGAAGAAGAAGTGATCAACAACTGCTGTTCTGCCAATGAGATTCCAGTTACTTGATCTTTTTTGTGTCAATTAAATTTTGTTATACTAGTTTGTATTTTGGGCTCCTTCCAGTGTGCTCCCCCAATAGTGAGAATCTAAACAGTCACTACTCACCAATACGTTGTATGTTTAGAAGTTTTGAATTGAGATAGTGTCAATGTGAAAAAATCACTCTTGCTTTTCCTCTTCTATATTTATTTTGCAATTTATTGTCTTATCCATAGATGGCAATACATAAAGTAATATGTATAGCATATGTCCAAAACAGACTACAAGGAAAAAAAAAAGGCAATTCTAAGCTAGGATGCCCCATCAGCCGGCACAAAAATATAGAAAGTCCCATGATTAGCTAGCCCGCCTAGCCTAGGAGCTAGCACAAAAACATCTGGACAAAAAACTAGAATGAGATGATTCATCTCCTCACATGGTCTTTCAAAAAGAATGTGATGCTCTTATTATGCTGAATTGTTAAAAGATTATAATTAAAATCCATTTTATGAACAAAATAAAGAAAAAATATATTAAAATTTTTTAATATTTTTTTTTACAATTTGAGTCAATTTAGTCATATAAGTAACTTCAATCTACTTATTTTGATTATTACAAATTCAGCGTGCAAAATAAAAAATTATGTGTCAAATGAGAAAAATTAGTTGAGAAAACTAAGCAAAAATTATCGTCTTTTGTGCATGGCAAAACCAAGTCAAATGTTGCCCGTTTGAAGCTTTTGTTTCTCTTTTAAGGCTTGGTTTGAGCCACGATTGACACTTCAATTCGACATAGGGGTGGATCTCACTCCCAGTCCCAAACTGAGTTGGATTAGGACAGGCGGTCCAAAATGATTTTGACTGAAGCACAACTTCTTAATGAGGCTCAAATCATGCCTCTAGGTCATCCCAATCAATCCTATCTTCATTTTTTAACCTTTCAAGTCTCAAATCATGTTTCTAGGTTATCCCGTGGACCTTCAATGCCTCTCGTTGTCTCTCGAACGCATCTCAAATCTTCTCCACTTGAGCTCAAACGCTGATGTCGGGTACGAATTCTTCCTTTTCTTCAGCGAATGCAAACCAAACCTGGTAAACCGTGACTTGAGCTAAATAAACACTTTGTGACGCAAGTAAATTCGAAAAAATGATAAAACTCAATCTCGGCCAACACGCATCAAATGTGTGTTGAAATATGAACTTATCAATGCTCAGAGAGAAGAAGTTGGCAAAATTCCTATGGGGAGAGACTGCTAATACTATAATATATATCTTGAATAGATGCCCTACTAAGAAGCTGAAGGGTGAAGTACCAAAAAAGGTGTGGTCTGGTGTGAGACCTACTGACGACACTTTGTCGTATTGTGCCTCAAAATAAATATTCAATACAACACTTATACGTAGTACTCTCTCCGCCCCAATTTGATGGTCTCATATTTCCTTTCTGCACCGTCCCAAATTGATAGTCACATTTCCCTTTTTGGAAAGAAAGATGTGGTCCACATCATTTCACCTTTTTCTACTCAAATCTCAACCACAACGTTTACCTTTTCAACCACTTCCTTAATCTTTGAGCCCAAAAGAAATGAGACTCTCATTTTGGGACGGAGGTAGTATAGCGTAGTAAAGTTCGTATCCACAGGGAAATGAATGCTTCTCTTTTAATGAAATAGTGCCAAGGGGGTCTTAAGATTGTTGTTGAACTTGAAGTATATTAACCACTAAGTTAAACGACTTATGTGGATTAACTAATTAGAGATGGAGACTTGACTTTGCTTATATCCACTTAATGAAATGTTTGTCGATCCCAGTTATATCTTTAACTATCTTCCTCTCGAATACTCAATCGTGGAGTATATCCAATTCATCGAGGCTAGTTATTAATAACAAAATGTGTTCATCAATAAAACTTACTATCAAGTCAATATAGAACACATTTCGTATATTGACCCGATAGTAGCAATAAAACTTAAGATGAAATCGATTGAGATTGATAACCTCAACTCAAGCGGTTTATTGGTTTAATCAATATATAGTATAATTAATTCCCCTTAGTTTATTAACCATGAGACACATGCGTTAATAATCCAAGTTTACTACCGTCAAAGGATCGAGTTAATAACAATCGTATTAATCGATCGATTCTAGTAATAATTAATATATGAAACAAAACTAGTTGATCCTTTAAGTAATGCTCAAGATATTAATATGGGATATAGAATAGGAATGTAACTAATATTCAAGGAAGATGATTAAAGAAAATAACTCACAACTTACAAATCATTAAGTTTCAAATGTAGCAAAACCAAGATGGAAGAGTTTAGCTCCTCATCTGGAGACTAAACATGATAAAAATATAAAGAAAGAACTTATCTAGACTCAGCTTAGAAGTATATAGGAATTGATGATTTTTGTATGAAGGAAAGAGGTGTATTTATGGGAAATTGGGAACATGCAGGGATGTGTTTTGCAATCGCCGATTTAAGGATGAGATAATTCCCTAAGTAGGAGTAAAAACGTTTTGAAATTCCAAAATAGAAGTATCATGTTTTTTATTCCCTGAATAGGAGTAAATTTCTGCCAAGTTTGGCATTACAAAGCTTTTAAACATGACATTTCTTTCTAACTTGGCAGATTAATCCTATTCAGGGAATAAAAAAAAGATACCCCTGTTTTGGAATTTCAAAACGTTTTGGAAGGAAAACGATAACAATGATTATCGCCCTCATCTGTGAGATGTGACGTGGTGATCGACTTAGGGGGTGTTTGGATCTGATTCTTAAAACTGCTTCTGCTCCTTCAAGGAGTAGAAGAAGAAGCTGGAGTGTTTGGGTGAAAGTGCAGAAGTTATTCTGGTACTCAAATTTACGCATAGAATCAGTTTTTTTAGAAGCTGGGGGCGAGTAGCTTCTAAAAACTGATTCTGATTCTGCTTCTGCTTTAAAAAAGAAGCAGAAGCAGAATCAGTTCCAAACACCCCCTTACATTTCTAATTCAAAAAAAAAAACTCCCATTGATTATTTTCAACCATTTTATACTGTTGTGTCTTATTCTTTGCACTTTGGACACCATGTTTCTAGTTTTCAGTTACATACAAGCTTTGTAATATAGTAAATAATACATATTTTATCATTTATGTTAGTATATCTCCACGGGAAAAAAAGAGGACCATATCTATGTGGCAGCGCCTAGGCACCCTAGGCGCTAGGCCCCACCCCGCCGCCCGGCTAGCGCCTAGCGAGTTCTAGAACATTGGGTATGTCAATTGGTCATGGTCAAATATTTCCCTACACGTCCCTTTGTCTTCTTGATTTCATCGGATATGCAAAACAAGTAGATACGCGATCGGGTATAGGGTATACCCGATCGGGTACATCCCAAAATCAGGATCTTCTTTTTTTGTCTTGCATTTTTGCATCTTCCCTCTTCTTTTGGGGTTCACCAATGATCTATTGAGTGATCGTGCACCTGTTTTTGCTCAGAATAACCCTAATCTAAACAAATTACAAATATTTTACAAACTAAACCATTACACCAAAAGTGTGTAATTTCAAAAGTAACAATCAACAAAACTAAATAAAAACACAAACATACACATGGAAATTACATGAATGTCACCTACTGTGAATCATCCAAGGATTTTTGGTAGCTTATGTTATAAGAATATACCATATCAGAAGAGGGGGAAGTTGGATGATAAAAGTGTTCCAATGGTGCTAATTGGTTATCACACTGCAGGCTCCTATAAATTGTTTGATCCTGCTAACAAGATTTTTGCATATACCAAAGATGTGGTTTTTGAGGAGACTCAAAGTTGGGATTGGAATTCATCTGGTAAGGTTACTAGACCAATCACTAACCAGTTTGTGCAATTAAACAACAATCAACAAGACTAAATGGGTATGACGTGTATGATGATGTTGAGATTAATGAAGTGGGTGAGTTGTTGCACTTTGCGCTATTAGCTTATTGTGAGTCTCCTGATTGGAAAAGAGGCATTAACTCAGGAGTGAAAAGAAGCTATGATAGAAGAAACCTAATCCATAGAGAAAAACTCTACCTGGGAACCTACATCACTGACATCAAACAAAAGATCAATCAGTGTGAAATGGATTTTCAAAACCAAGTGCAAGCCATATGGTACAATCTCCAAACATAAAGCTAGATTGGTAGTGAGAGCCTGAGAGATTTCCTATAGAAGGAAGGACTTGATTACACTGAGGTTTTTGCACCAGTGGCAAGAATTGAAACTATAATAATGGTAGTTGCTATGGCATATAGTAAAGGGTGGAGGATGTTTCAGTTAGATGTAAAATATGCTTTTTTAAATGGAGAGTTGGAAGAAGAGGTGTATATAACTCGACCTATAGGTTTTGAGATCCAAGGTGCAGAAGATAAAGCTCTCAGGCTTAGAAAGGCATTATATGGGTTAAAACAAGCTCCAAGAGCTTGGAACAAGAAAATAAATGCATATTTGCATAATATAGATTTCAGACCTTGTGTGAATGAGCATGGTGTGTATGTCAGAAGATCTAAGTGTGATATTGTTGTAATCTGTCTGTATGTTGATGGCTTGTTGGTGACAAGTAATTCTACTGATCAGATTGAAGTTTTTCAAAATTCAAATGAAATAACAATTTGATATGACAAACCTGTGAGAGTTGACATATTTCCTAGGGATAGAATTTTGTGGTGAAGCTGATGGAATCTTCATAGATCAAAAGAAGTATGTGACTGGCATGCTACAGAGATTTCAAATGACGAACTACAATAATGCAAATAGTCTTATGGAGCCTAAACTAAAATTGTGTATTGGTGAGCATGAGAAGGAGGTTGATGCCAGTTTGTTTAGAAGTATGGTTGGATCTCTAAGGTTTGTGTGCAATACTAGACCTGATATTTCCTTAGTGTAGAACTTGGTTTATGCAAAAGTCTAAGCAGTCACATTATATAGCTGCAAAGAGAATACTTAGGTTCCTTAAGGGTTGGATTGAGGTATCCAAAAGAGGTGAAACCTAAGGAAAAAGGTTTAATAAGCTTTTCTGATTCAGATTGGAAAGGAGATACTGAGGAAAGAAAAGTACTATAGTGTATACATTCAAGCTGAATGGGGCCACAATATTATGGAGTTCTAGAAAACAGCCTAAAGTGTCATTATCCACTTGTGATGCTGAATATGTAGCAGCAGCTTATGCAACATGTCAAGGAGTTCGGCTAAGTTCTTTATTGAGTGAAATTCTTGGTGAAAAGCAAGAGGTGTTTCAATTATTAGTTGATGATAAGTCTGTCATAAACCTTGCTCAGAATCTGGTATCACATCGAAGAAGTAAGCACATAGAGCCTAAATATCATTGGCTGAGGGAGAAAGTAAGTGAAGGGAAACTGGTTCTTATGTACTGCAGTAGTGAAGAACAATTATCTGACATTTTGACAAAGCGATTGCCAGTTGATAAATTTAGAAAGCTTAGAGAAGAGCTTGGAGTTAAAGCCCCAGTTTGATGAGGAAGAGTTTTTTAATTAAGGAAGAGTGTTGTGTGTATAATTCAAAGTGCAAGTGTTTATGTAGTGTGTGCAAGTGTATGTAATAAAGTGTAAGTGAGTATCTTACTATAAATAGTAAGGTAGTGTATGTGTTGTTGCGTGAGTGTGGTGGCTATAAAGAAAAGTAATAAATCTTCCTCTTCCTCCAAGTTAGTTAATACACTTACAAACCCCATCATATCTACCATAACGTATGGTAACATATGAACTATTGCTTCATATTGACAAACCCCATCATACAGTTACATAACTTATTGAGGATGACTTGTATAATGTTGTCAGAGAATTCTTTTGTGGAGTTCCCATTCCTAAAACAAATGCCCACAAACTTATTGCTTCCATCCCAAAAGAAAATCATGCTTATTGGTTTTCGAAATTCAGGCCTATAAGTCTTAGTAATTTTCATTAACAAAGTTTTTACTAAAATCATCACTGTGAGAGTTAGCCCCTTACTCACTAAAATCATTTCCACTTAACAGTCTGCTTTTCAAAGAGGTAAAGAGATTTCCGATAACATTCTGATCCTTCAGGAATTGGTTAATCATATCAATAAGAAAACTAGGGAGCACAATATTATTTTCAAATTTGACATGAGGAAAGCTTTTGATAGGATGCCTTGGACTTTTATTAAGCATGTTCTTGTTAAATTTTGGTTTCACCCTATGTTTGTCGAGCTTATCTATAATAACATGAATGCTACTTGGTGCTCTGTGCTTATCAGTGATTCCCCGAAAGGATTTTTCAAACCTAGCAGAGGGGTCAAACAAGGAGACCCCTGTCTCCCGTCCTCTTTATAATTGCTACTGAAATTTTGTCCAGAAAGCTTAAGAGTCTGTTCTTAAACGATAGGGTTAAACCTTATATTACTCTTCAAGGCATGCCTGTTAGTAATCATTTATCTTTTGCTGATGATTTAATTGTTTTCTCTAATGGTGAAAAAAGGACCCTGGAAATGCTTAAGAGAACTATCACTGATTATGAAAGTTTTCTGGCCAGCTCATTAGTAAAGATAAAAGTTTTTATCTTATTTCTAAACACTCTAAAAACCATTCCTGGCCTTAGTTGAGAATATTTTTCAAATAAAAAAGGGAACTTTCCCTTTCACTTACCTGGGTGCAAATATCTTTTCTGGTTTAAAACCTAACTCATATTATGATCATAATCTTACCAAGGTGGATAGCAAATTCTCTGGCTGGAAGCATAAGCTTCTGGAAGCCCAATTCAAATGGCAATTTCAGCTTTTCTAGTGCTATGATGTGATAAGACCTAAAATGAATGTTACCACTTCTTCCAATTTCATTTGGAATGGCAGGACCCAAAAAAAATTCTTTCTTTGGAAAATGGAAAATTGTCTTCTTCCCTTTGAGGACAAACTTATGCAATTCGGTTTTTGTGGTCCTTTTAAATGTCCGATATGCCCATATAGTGATACTATCGATCATTTTTTCACTTTCTGCACCTTTAGCAGAGCGGTTTGGGAACACTTCGAAATCATTTTAACTACAAACCAAATAATGTTTTCAGCTCGTAACTATGTTTTGGGTTGATATACTGGTTACAAGGGTTTTGCTGACATCAACTAGGTCCTTCCTAATATTGTCACTTGGAACCTATGGAAGATTCGTAATAAGCTTATCCATGATAACAAACAGGTCTTTCTTCTTGAAGCAATCAAAGCTATAAAAGCGGAGATTTTTGTCATTTTGAATCTCAAACCTTTCATCACTGACAGTGCCCATACACCCTTTAACATATGCACAGTTATGCCCAAAAAGCCTACTCATAAACCTCAGTTCAAGTCCTGGTCTAAGCCTCCCGCCAATTACCAGAAGATAAACATTGCAACCATGAGCCTTGCGCCTAACTTGATTAGAACTACAGTGCTTATTCGTAATAGTTTGGGTAAGTACATGGGGCACATGACATACATCACTCACAATTGGGACAACACTTTAGCCTCCTAGATGCCGTCTTGGATACTACTCCCTCCGTCCCTTATAACTTTGCCAACTTTCCTTTTTTGGATGTCCCATTAACTTTGCCACTTTCCCATTTAAGTAAAGAATTTGTGGTTCCAGTTAATTCTCACTCCTCTGCACAAACCTCAACCACACAGTTTTTACTTTATTAATCCACGTGCCGGTCAAATTTGGCAAAGTTATTAGGGACGGAGGGAGTATTATAAACATCAAGAAGATAAACTTGACAAATTTTATTCTTGAAGTAGATAATAGAGATATCTATGAAGGAATTATAGGCCTGTCCGCTCAATACTGGAAATGATGGCCTCGGATCCAAGAAATCAGAAGGAAGCTCCAAGACTACAATTGGTCCATTACCCACATTAACACCAAGATTAATGGAGCAGCTGAGTACCAAGAATCACATTTCCATCATTTTGTTGGTATCTTAAAATTCGATGCTATTAGCTACCCCTATATATTTTCTTAAGAGTACACTTTGGTTTGGTCCTCCTACTCTATGCACCTTCTTTTTTATTAATAAATTGGCAGGGTGTTTCCTGGCCCCTGCCCCAAAAAACCTTTCTGGTTTTTTGGTCTAAACCGGGTTAGAAATAATAATAATAATAATAATAATAATAATAATAATAATAATAATAATAATAATAATAATAATAATAATAATAATAATAATAATAATAATAAATAAATAAATAAATAAATAAATAAATAAATAAATAAATAAATAAATAAATAAATAAAATATGAACGACTGCTTCCACCATAAATTAGAGAACAACTACACTATCAACTCAGAGAGTTTGTTATAGAAATACACATTCAAGACATAGATTTATTTACATTCATATAGCAAATGGCCAGAAGGCTTTCCCAATCCACGGAGGCCAGAAGGCTTTCCTAATCCACGGAGGCCAGAAGTCTTTCCCAATCCACTGAGGCCAGAAGTCTTTCCGAATCCACGGACAGGAACTGCAAAAAGAAATTAGGAAGCGAAAAGAAATCAAAACTTTCCCAACAACCATTTTAATACATACATACTCGACCCCAACAACCATTTTAATACATACATACTCGAAGGTATAGCACAAAGGATCATGAACAAAAAACACTAAGGGGAGGAATCCACAAATCTGAGTGTCTAAAAAAAGTTTTAGCAGAAAAAAGGCCTTCATTTTTTTTTTCAATTGGGTTGAAGAATGCACCAAAATAATGTCTCCCATGACATCATTTATACTCCTTCCTGAATTGTGTGACAAACAATAGTTTGAGTGATCATATAAGTAAAAGTATAAGGAGAGGGATTACTAACCTGGTTTAAAGGGCTTGACTTGGAGCAACCTATTATCAGGATAGGAACAACGCGCTTCAAGTAGGATTGGCACTCGGGCAGCGGATGGATCAGCAGCTCGGAAGACATGAACTCGGGTCTTGTAACTTTCATCCAGGTAAACTCTAGTCACTCCCAAAAACTCCAAGTTCTTGTTTTGCTCCTTGTTGTACTGTTGGGTGAACTCTCGACACTCATCAGCATAGTCATAAGGAGGACCCTCGACAGGATCATCATCACTGTCGGACGGGTAGTCAGAGATCGGCTTCTTCTTCTTCTTCTTTGGGAACTTGTTGTTCTTGCGGTTGATCCTTTTTATATCATTAAGAAGGGTCTTCAATTGCTTGGCTTCCCCACTGTGATAGCGTTCCTTATAACAAGGAATGGCATTCGGGTCAATGCCTCCCAGATCAATCTCATCGTCAATCTTTTGTACAAGATCATATCGGTGAAGAAGGTCACCAGCAGCCAACTTAGGGAGCTTTCTCAAATCATACAGCATGATCTCAAAATTCGGCCCTGCATCTATGTAACCTTGGACCTCGTCGGGAACGTTCCAGTCCTCATACTTATGAGCATCAGGTCCATTCTTTGCACGCCTGATGTCCATGTAAAAATTTAAAACATCAGGAGCATAGAGTCGGTAATTAGCACTCTCAGGACCATACAGAATACTAAGAGATGATGATGAAAACATCTTCGACCTAGCACATGCCGCCGCCGCCGCCGCAAGAGGCCTCCACTTCCACATAGCTTGTTTGAGAGCCATCACCGTTTGTCTTGTTTTGTTTTGTGAGTTGTGAAGGTTATACCCTACAATTTTGCCTGTGTTTTGAGACGCCAATCGGCCCAAGTGGGACATTTGTATATATTTTACAATATGGGATTCTAAGAAACACTTGATACATTTATGGATTTGTGAGGCAAATCCACATTTTGACCTAAAACAAAAGTGATTCTCACATTGCATACTTGATACAGAGTATTGTACTATCTTTTATACGGACTTGCAAGAAACTGACAAACTCCAAATTTAAAATACAGATTGTGTGCTAGTTCAGCTCTTTCTCATCTGCGTTTATAAAGAACGCTAATATTTATGCATATAGTTAAAGTAGACTTGAAATCGTGACCCAACTCTTTTTAGGTGAGTAATACAAGAGCTAAATTTAATAAAAATAAAGATATTATTATTATTATGAATTCAAAACCAATCCAATAATCATTTAATCATTGTTTCAAATAAAGGGAAATCGTCAATAAACGAACTATTTAAAAATTAGGCTACTGCAACACTCATTTATCAATAAAGGGAAATCATCAATAAAACAACTATTTAATCATGGAAAAATTGACAAGAATAATCCTACCTTTCATCGGTCTTCTCATAATAATCTCACCTTTAAATAATCCCAAAATAATCCCACCTTTGCACCTTCTTTCATTGGACCCTGACCAAGTTTTTTACCTTTTTAAAAAATCTTATATAAATAATCTCACATTTAGGATGTTTTTACTTGGACTGTAATTTGCCCCAGACCAGACCAGTCCAGACCAGTTCAGACCAGACCAGATCAGATCAGACCAGACCAGACCAGCAAATTACAGTCCAAGTAAAAACATCCTTATAAGGATACAATTAAAAAGTGAAATGTGAGATTATTTGTATAATTTTCAAAGAAAGAGTAAAAAACATGGTCATGGTCCAATGAAAGAAGATGAGGTGCAAAGGTGAGATTATTTTGGGATTATTTAAAGGTGGGATTATTATGAGAAGACCAGTGAAAGTGAGATTATTCTTTTCAATTTTTCATTTAATCATTGTAGCTATATATGGTCATAACCCGGAATAGCTTGGACAAACGGGACCAGAGGTTTTTTATGTTGGTGTTTTGATATTCATATAATGTATATCAGTGTGTGTGTATAATACTTCGTATTATATATATTCAAGCAGTAATCGAGAGGGAGATGATATGAAAGAATGACACCAATATTAGCGTAGACTTTTCAATTGACAAGAACGAGACCAATTCTCGTTTGGGACAAAAAAGTGAGTTAAAATGTTTGAAAAGCCTAAAATGCCCTAACCAAATGTCCCTGTGTCTCTTTCTTTTACTCATCAACGCGTCAGACATTCATCACATCATCTTCATTCCTAACCAAGCCTCTCTTCGTTGCTCGATATGAAAATGGCCGCCGCTGCCGAGACGCCGAGAAAGAGAGTCATCTTCGCCTCTCCGCGCCGATGTTGCTCTGTTGATGAGCTTCCCTCGTCTGCTGCAACTTCTCCATTCTTAGTTTCCATTCTTCTCGCCCGCAATTCTACCGCAGCCCTCCCAACAAGGCAACCAACGAAGACCAGATCTGGAGCTTGGTGATGGTCTCCGCTTTGGTACACCTCGGCTACATCCGTCGTTGTATTTGATCGAGAGCCTTCACAATCGTCGCTAGGGTTGCTCTTTAGTAGATTCAGACTATCGCGGTGACTAGGGATTTGTTGTTGCGGCATCTATGGTTTAATTTCGGTTGGTGGCTACCTTTCCAGATCTGATTTCCAGCAGCTAGAGTTTCTACCTGTGGCTGGGCGGTGCTGGTCGGCGGAAGGGAATCGGCAGGCCGGTGGTAGGAGTGTGGTCGGGAACTGACAATGGCGGGGCCGAGTTTTCAATTCAATGAACGCCAGTCAACATTGTAAAACTCTCAACAGTGGCCGCTAGATTTCACACGGTTGGGGGGTGGGGTAGTGGTAGGGCATGGTTGGGACGTTGTGGTGGGGGTGGTGGGGGTTGGGGCATGGGTGGTCACTAAGGGTGGTGGGTGTGGTGGTTGGTGGCGGTGGAGGTCACTGGGGTGGGGCGGTGGATGTCACCGGGGTGGTGGAGGTCACCGGGGTGGGGCAGTGGAGGTCATTTGTTGGGTTGGTCACCGATCAAATTGGTCATATTACTGGTCGGGATAGTCACCGAGGCGGCAGTAACTAGGACAGTGGTAACTGAAAAAGAGTAATAACTGGGATGATGTCATTGTAACGGTAGTAACTGAGACGGTCACTATAGGTAGTAACTGAGACAGTGTCACGATAGTGATAATTACTGAGATGGTGTCACTGTAGCGGTAGTAACTGAGACGGTGTCACGGGAGTATAGTAATTAAAAAGGTGTCATTAAAGAGGTAGTAATTGAGACAATGTCACTGGAACGGTAATAACTGAGACGATGTCACTGGAACGGTTGTAATTGGAATAGTGACCTGAAGCGATAGTAACTGAAAATCTGAAATTATTGTCACACAATTTTCATATTGGAATCTTTATCTTGAGAATAAAATTAAAATAGGAAAAACATTGAAAATTTGAAATATTATTTTAAATTAGAAAAAACATGAATTGCAATAATTGTGATACACTGCATTGTGAAGCATTGTTAATTAACATAGAATGCCATGTTTACCTGATTGGGAAGAAGGTAGGTGTCATTTATGTAACTTTAAAATTTATTCGGGAGAGTTGCCGTTCTTAACTTACGGTACCGTCATATTGTTTCCAATTATGTTAGCCGCTAGATCACTTTTCCGGCTTTTTTAAATTTGACTCACTTTTGTGGAATTGAGCCTCCTAATACTAATATTGATGTCCTTTTCCCAGATGATATACCTGCGACTCTAGTATGACTAATCGAAAGGGAGAAGGCGGCGACAAACTATAGTGCTATACCACTAGAAAAGAGAATGCTTTGTGTAGGGTGATTTTGGAGAAAGTAATAATAATAGTCGGTAGTGTTTGAAAAAAAAGTGATTCTGAAAAAGTAAAAGCTGATAGTGTTTGATAAAATAAGCGTTTTTTGTGTAATAGAAAAAGTGAAAAACAATTTAAAGCATCATTCCACCTGCTTCCAGCTTTTAGCTTTTAAATGATTAATTTGCAGAAACTGTCATTTGAAAACACTCTTTTCAGCTTTTTTTAAGTCACAAGTCGAAAAGTGTTTTTTAAGCAACTGCAAACACTCCTATATTCGGATGCAGATTCACTTCCGAGGTCGGGTCTTTTATGGTTCCAAATTTGGATACTCGAATTCTGCCTGCTAATAAATTTGGATAAGGATGTTTTACTTGGACTATAATTTGTCTTAGACCAGATCATATCAGATCAGACGAGACTTGCAAAGTTATAAAAATACAAAGAAACTAGACCTGACCTGACTAGTTTAGATCAGACCAGATCATACCAGCAAATTATGGTCCAAGTAAAAGCTTCCTAATTCCAACTTATTATAAATATAAACCATGTCTAGAGTTCAATATGAATATAGCATATTATACCAAATATTATCCCCTTTCCTAGAAAGAGTTGTTTCACCAATTAATGGACAACTTTTTTTTATGGTCAAGTAAAACACTATAACCACCATAAATCATGAATTATAGTATTTCTAAAATGTATTTCTTGAGTTAACTAAACATGAATTATATTATACTTCCTCCGTTTTTATAATTCTTACAACATTGTGTTTTTTGCATTATTCACATACTTTACTTTGATCACGATTTTCTAGTAATATACATAATCAAATTATTACATATAAAATGTTATTGAATTCCTATCAATGTGAATTTCTAAAATATCAACTTTTTATAATGTTTACTAATACATAATTAAATAGAAATAATTACATAAATATGACCAAAATAAAGATGATTTACAAAAATATGATTAATAACTAGAGTACTAATGAAATTATACTAATTCATGTTCAAGTTTTGAGCTTAAGTTACCACAACACCACATTCCATGTAGTAATGAATAGTCAAATTTATGTAAATATGTTTTATTTTAGTAATATTCTTGTTAAAAACTCAATTAAATATAATTATAGTCAAAGTTGTGCATTGACAATTGTGAAAGTCAAACTGTTGAAAGAATGAAAGAACAGAGGACAGTATCTTATACATAGTATTTATTTGTTCAAATAACCAAGTAACTTTTTCTTGAGTAGTTAAATCTCTTTTTTTTTGTAATTTTTTGCGGATGACAAAGAAACCTAGACTTGATTGTCTGGAACATGATATAGTATTGTCCTATCATTTATCAAATGAATGATATCTACTAACCTTGTAATTATATTCTTTGTTTAGTGATTTATCTCTTCAGATGGACGCCACCACCCCAAAGTACTCTAAGGCGAGGTATGAAGAAATTGTGAAGGAAGTGTCATCATACCTGAAGAAGGTTGGATATAACTCTGAAAAAATCTCATTATATTCGTGCCCATCTCTGGTTTTGAGGGTGACAACATGATTGAGAGATCAACCAACCTTGAATGGTACTAAGGGCCCACCCTTCTGGATGCTCTAGATCAAATCAACGAGCCAAAGAGACCGTCGGACAAGCCACTCCGGCTCCCACTTCATCAGGATGTATACCAGATTGGTGGAATTGGTATCGTTCCCGTTGGATGTGTGGAGACCGGTATTATTATTAAGCCAAGTATGCTAGTTACATTCGCGCCCTCCGGTTTGACCACGGAAGTCAAGTCTGTTGAGATGCACCATGAATCCCTTCAGGAGGCACACACAAGGTTTTAAATTGCGGTTGCGGTCGCGGTTGCGGTCGTTGCGGTTGCGGCTAATGCGGCCGTTGTGATGCGTATTGCGGCCGCTGAGGCGTGAATTGTTTTTAAATTTGCATCAGAAAGAAAGATGGACAGGCGGAGGCGTTGCGGTCTGTTGCGGCACGTCGCGGTTGATTGCGGCCTGTTGCGGGATGTTGCGGCGGC